ATAGTCATCTCCTCTGCTGACAACTTCTTTACACGTTGGACGCAACAGTATGGCCTTTGCTGTCTTTGAAGATGGACATGACCATTTGACTTGCTATCCTCTGAAATGTAATAAGTGATATATCACATACACACAGAAACTGTAAAAGCCAGTGTATAATTTACCACAGTTCTTTTCCAGTGCTGTGGTGATGATGGAGGTGTAAGTCAAGATGGGGGTTTGATCAGCCTAGCTCCCTGAGTAGCTGGCTATGATGAGTGTAGTGATCTTGATGGTATATCATAAACAAGAAATACATTTGTGTTATAAGATAATGAGATTTTGGCGTGGTATGTTACTGTACATTGCCCTGTCCTGACATACACACTCAAGGTATGGCAACTGGCTTAACGTAACAGAGTTGTATTTATCCTTCGTTTGACAGTTGATTGTGGTATTTGGCAGGCAGTCTTCTATGTGATGGCTCAGGCATTCTCTTCCGTGTCGTGGCTTCAGTATTCCCCAGACGACAGACTTCTCTCCAAAGTTGTTTGAACCTGGCTGAGAGATCAAGAGTGAAGCCTGGTGCAGGAGACTGTGGTGGCAATTCCCGACTGCCTGAGATAGTGGGAAGACCTCGCTGTGTCTCTGGGATAGGAGAGAATGACTTGTCGTGAGCACGGGGCACTCCGCGATGCGCAGACTTTGAGCTCCACTGGATGCTCTGACTTGCTTCTCAGGTGTGCGCAGCGCTGGCCTCCTGGGCGCGTGGTCCCTGTGGTGGCTTGCACACAGCCTTGTGCTTGGAAGGGTTCAGTGGTCGGCTCTCACAGAGCATTCAGGGAGTTTTGAACAAGGGACTCCACATTTTCATACTGCTCTGGGCCCCACAGGTTATGTAGCTGGGCCTGCATGTGGGTTCTACCTGGAACCTGTGCGGATGGAAGCCTGCGCCACAGATGGAATGTTGAAGAACTCACTGAAGTTTGTCTGAGAATTGCCTGTGTTTTTTAGCCCGTGGAGAGAAAATATTGTGAAAAAATTTGTGTGCTTTTCTTTCTTGCACATTCTTGCTCACGACCATATACATAGTCAGTGTCATTCTCACTGCCTCAAGGAGAATTAAGGACTATAAAATCAGATATGCAAAGAACAGTTGATTGGGGTTTTTTACTTTAAAAATATGCTGTAACAGTTGAAGGTCATCTTGGCTAGGAACGGGGTTCCAGAGCTGAAGAAGGCTCAGACTTGGAGGGGTTCTGAGGCTGGGGGTTTGCTTTTCTCTACTGCCCCTTCAAAACTATGTAAACTCATTCTTCCCTGGATCCTGAATAAAATCTCATTCCAACCCCATATTGTTGTAGACTGTATTTTTATTTGAAGCCTCTCTCTGCAGGGTTATACATTCAGGTGTTGATAAACTCAGGTGTAGCCATAGGACTTAAACAGAAGTGGTGTCACTTCAGAGCAGGACCTTGTACAGCCAGGATGGGATTCATGTTTTCTGTTCCCTCCACCATAACGGGAGGCAGTGCCCCAGATGGTGGCTACTCCGTGTTGGGGTCCCAGAGTGAACCACAGCCACAGTCGGGCTGCAGGTGATGTGCTCTAGCACACTGCTTTAGGATGCAGGGACACACGGCATGTGTTACATAGTTCTGCGCTGCCGGGCCTCTCTCGAACACTAGGAGCATTGTGGGCTTGTGTGAAAGAAAGTCATGTTCTAGCATCTCATTTCTACTGTTCCCTTAAGAGTTTTCTCTCTCTGTTTTATGTGTATGGAGATATTTCATAAAATGTTGGCCTGCAAGGTTGTTTTGAACATAAATGTATGGAAAGGAGTATTTATGTAGATCTGGGACCAAAATTCTATGTGGCATCCCATAAATCGTTTAATTTTTGTGTTGCTTCTTTTTCTGGCAAGTGCCAATGCCCTATTTTAAAGAGGTGTTAAGAAAAAATAAACTGTGTACAGAATATATAAATTAACACATTTTAAAGGACCATTTTTGGCTGCCTTGATTCAGATGCAATATTTTAAAATATCTTTTTCATCACTTCATCCTATAACCTTCAAAAGCTAAGGGATGCGTGTGTAATCAAGATGTTAAGTAGATGGCAGAGCTTTGGCTCAGTCCTTTTGCTTACTGCCCTGTCTGGTATGAATACACGTCCACTGCTGTGTTAGATGGATATTTAGTTGTTTTTTTTCTATATCCTTCTATATAACAGTAGGATAAAATGAAGGATAAAGGAAATTATGTCTTACCTAAAGTTATTGGGTATCTTTGGATTTGAAACCAGAACATATGAGTTTCTGCTTAAGGTAAATGCTACATGCCTCCCCTTCCTTCTCATTATTCTCATTAAAATTCTACACAAAAAGAACCACAGTACTGTGTCGTACTTTGCTTCTCCATGGTAGGTGCCTTCTTGATGGAAACTAATGTATTGTCCATGTGTTAGCAACAGAAAAGATTAAAACCACCTAACTCGATGCCTATGTACTGCTCGTGGGCAGTGATGCCGCTTCTGTGAGTAACTGGAATGGTTCACGTTGACCACCAAGGTACGGTGGTGGCAGTAGGTACTGATCAAAAAAGACAGTGAAGAAAACAGTCTCCATGACCCTGGAAATCATCTCTTTAATATCACTGATAAGCATAGACTATTGGCCCTTTGTTCCTAAAATTCGCTTAAATGCAAGTGTGCCCCGTGTATCCTTCCCCCCCTACTGTAAGATTCATGAATAAAGGAGTCACACCTGCCTTTTATATCCCTAAACCCAGCACAGTTCCTGGTTTATTTTAAGTGATCATTAAGTATTGTGTGAGTAATAAACTTAATGAGTGAATACCATACGGTCTTCCATTTTTTTTTCCCCCAGAGAATTCCATAGATGTAGTGAGATCCTATCCAGTCAAATGTCCAGGTGTGGTGGGCTCCTCTTCCTTAGGTCTACAAGAAGCAGTTGTAGTTGTGTAAGAGAAGTTCTTCTTCTTCTTCTTTAAAGAACACTCAATGGAGAAAAGACAGTCTCTTCAATAAATGGTGCTGGGATAACTGGATATTCACAGGGAAAAGAATGAAACTGGACCCTGATCGTACACCACTCACAAAAATTAACTCAAAATTGATTAACAACTTAAGTGTAAGACCTGAAGTCATGAAATTCCTAGAGGAAAACAGGAATAAAACTCCCTGACATGGTCTTCATGATGATTTTTGGCTCTAACACTGAAAGCATAAGCAACAAAATAAAAAATAAGTGGGACTACATCACACTAAAAAGCTTGTGCATATCAAAATAAAGTGAAAAGACAACCTATGGAATGGGGATAAAAATTACAAACCATATGCCTGATAAGGGATTAATATCCAAAACATATAAAGAACTCATACAACTCAACAAACAACATGGAAACAAATAACCCAATTAAAAAATGGACAAAGGACTGAATAGACACTTCTCCAAAGAATATATATGAAAAGCCAACAGGTACATGAAAAGATGTTTTGTATCACTAGTCATTATGGGCATGCATATGAAAACCACAATGAGTTACTACCCCATGTCTGTTAGAATGGCTTTTGTCACAAAGATGAGACAGCAAGTGCATGGATGAAGGGAACCCTCGTGCACTGTTGGTGGGAATGCAGACTGGTGCAGTCGCTCCGGAAAAGAGTATAGAGGATCCTTAAAAAATTAAAAAATAAAACTACCGTATTATCCAGCAATTCCACTTGTGGGAATACAGGTGACCCTTGAACAACATGGGCGTTAGGAAACACCAACACTCCCGTGCTTAGTTGAAAATCTATAACTTTTGACTCCCCAGAAACATTACTGCCAACAGCCTACTAATGACCTTACCCATCCCATAAACAGTCGATGAACACAGATTTCACAGGTCATACGTATTATACACTGTATTTACAATCAAGTCAGCTCGAGAAAAGAAAAAGTTATGAAGAAAACCTAAGGAAAGCATGCTCACAGTACTGCAACCGAAATCTGCGACTGGGCTACGCAATTCAAACCTGTGCTGTTCTACGGTCAGCTCTGTGTCCAAAGGTACCAGAAACACCAACTCAGAAAGCTCTCTTCACCCCCGCGGCCCGGACATGGAAACAACCTAAACGTCCACCAATACATGAGTGGATAAAGAAGCTGTATGAGATACATCTGTGTGTGTATCACAACACAGTATTACTCAGCCAAAAAAATACGGAGAAATCCTACCATTTGGGACAACATGGGTGGATCGTGAAGACACGAGGCTGAGAAGACAGATTACCATACTGTACCATCACCCTGCTGTGTGGAGTCTAAACAGGAAAAACCACACTGGGCAAAGCGAGCCGACTGCAGGTCAGCCGCACGGACGGGCAGGGGCGCGGGGTCCGTCCACCGGCACTAAGGACACGGCACGTCCCGAGCCGGCGAGCGGGCCGCAGCCCCGGGGCTGAACGTCGGCACCCCGAGTCCCCCGCGACCCAGCGGCACAGCCGGGGTGCACACACAGCCTGACTGCAGCGGCTTTCTCCCGGAGCACGTCCGCCGGCGGTGACCTCTGGGAGCGGGCGCTCCGCCGCGGCGGCGGTGGGGGGGGTGGGGGGGCCTCCCCGCCAGGTCGGCCGCCAGCGGGTGCCCCTCACCTGGACGGCGAGCGCGGCGGAAGCCGGAAGAGCGACAGCCGGGCTCCAGGCCGCCCTCGGAAGAAACACGCCCGGAGCGGCGGGCAGCCCCGCGCGGCAGGTGCCCCGCGGCTCGCTCTGGGCCGCAGAGGACTAGGGGTTCCCCCCAGCACGAGGGACAGGGGGAGGCTCCGTGAGAATGGCCGGGGTACCCGGGCGACCCACCGCGGCCGCTGGGCCGGCGAAGGCCGACCCTACCCGCTGCGCGGCCACACCACCCCACTCAGTCCCAGCGCAGCGCCGGCCCCGGCCACGCACGGCCACGCACGGCCACGCCCCTGCCGGCGGCCAGCGCCGCGCTGGCGTCACTTCCGGCCCGGGGCGGTCCGCATCCGGGTCAGAGCGAGCGTCTCGCTCGCGGAGTGTGTGAGTGGTGGAGGTGCTTCGCTGTCCGCCTTCTCTCTTCCCGGTGCGAGCGAGCCGCAGTGTCCACCGGGGAGGAGTGCCCCCGGCCGCGAGCAGAGGAGGACGGGGCGGAGATCCGGGCGCGGGCGGCGGCCGGTCTGGGCCGCTCTGCCGCGGGCTGGCGGCTCTGCTCCTCCGCTTGCTGCTGCTGTGTCTGGGAGCCGGCTGCCAGCACTGAGGCGTCTCCGGCGGACAGCGACCCCCTGCCCCGGCTCCTCTGGCCGCCCTGCCGGGGAGGGCGGAAGATGCCGGTGAAGAAGAAGAGAAAATCCCCTGGGGTGGCAGCGGCAGTGGCGGAAGACGGAGGCCTCAAAAAGTGTAAAATCTCCAGGTATCGCCTCCCCCCTCCCTTCCGTCTTCCCTCCTTTGCTGGGCGGCGAGAGGAACAGCAGGCGGGACGGGGCTCCGGGGCTCGGGCTGGGGAGGCGAGCCCCCGCCTAGAAAGCCGGCTGCTGGGCGCAGGACCCCGCGACGCTCTGCGCCCGACTGCACCTCGTGCTCGGCCTGTGCGCCCCGGGAGGGGCTGCGGGAGTCGCCTCACCTTCGGCTCTGCGTGCCCTGGAGGGTGGGAATCGGGACTGCGCACGGCAGCGGCGCCCTCGCCCCTTGCTCCTCGTCCCCTACTCCCTGCATCCCCGCCCCGACGTTCGTCCAGACCTGCAAGTGAGTCCAGGTCCGCGGAAGGGTCACTTCTAGAATCTCTTTGTAGCGTGCGAGGAAGGGAGCGGAGCTTGGGTAATGTTGACCTGACAACTGCCGGGGGTAGGCGGCAAAGCTCCCTGTGCCGTAATTGACCCCCAGATGGTGTCTTTGGAGGGGTCAAAGCCAGAAGATCCCAGCAGGAGGCCCCTTTTCTGGAAGGATAGTGCCTCCACCTGCGCCAAGTCCCTACGTGCAGAGTTGGAAAGGCCCTGCTTGCGGTTTTATTTTCTAGCATTCAAGATGCTGTTAGTTCTCGGTATAAATATTAATAAACTGGGACTTATTTTGCTCAGTATCCTCTTGGAGAAAAAGAAGCTAGAGCAGAGCTGTAATTCGAGCTCTTTGATCCCACTGTAGCAACGTTGTGTGCTGCACAAAATCATTGCAATTTAGGTGTGAGAAGTGGCTCTTTTCTAAATCTCATTGGGTGTCTGTATCACCGGTTGGCACTTGATGTAACAGCTTCAGATGCTGCCATTTACAGAGGACTGTAGTCAGCGTTACAGACAGGTAATGACAGAATTCTCCTTACAGAGAGCTGCTTCAAAAGTGAGGGAGCCAACTTCCTTAGTCTGCATCTTCCTTCCCTTCCTAGTTGACGGAATTTTTTTACTTTTTCACTAAGGATATTTTGGGGCTATTAGTGTGAAAGATGATAAGGTTTTCTTATACCTCTTGGTGACACACTAGAATGTGACAGCGCTATTCCACCAGCTCATAGTTTTATGAAACATAGAAGTTAGTTTTTTATTACTCTAACTTGTGGCCATTTTAAGTGCATAACATATCAAAATTATTTAAATGAAGCACATTAAAATAGCCAAGCAGTGTTGTTAAAACTCAGGTGATACTTTGCTCTATCAACTTAAAATGTTAAATATGGTACACTTATTTATGACATTACTCAGTAGCTGGAGTTGTAGCCTTTCTAGGTCATTGTGGTGGTGTAACTCTCTGAGCTCCTTGAAGTTCATTAAATCCTAAAGGCCATTTATGAACTTCCCAACCTTTAGTGATTTTGTGGAAGAGATAGGCTTTGGGATTAAATAGCTTTGGCCCAGTTATTTGTACAATTATTTTCATATTTACAGTTACCTTTTGTTTTTAATCTGTGGGATTTAATTATACTCTTGGGTCCTAAATCATCTTCTGTCTTTAAATACCTATTTAAGTTTGACAGATGATAAATAAACAGCTGTTAATATATGATTTTTAAAAAATATTGGCTCATTAAGTATCAAAATATATTTTATAAGATTTTGTTTTCAAATGTATGCATATTATACACAAATATAATTTCCATACAAGTCAGCAGAAGAATCACTATAAAGATTAATACATACCCAACTACTAGTCTTGTCTTGAGACCATTAGGTTGAACTTCCATGTGGTCATTTGAAATCTGGGGAAATGATTTTAGGTGATATTTTTGGATTTTGATAGTGAGCAAAGTAGCATTTGGGTTTTGTTAGCAAGAAAATTTTACGTATACACTACTGTTTCAAATTGCAAATACTAAACAACTCCGATTTTTTCCTATAATACCAGCTGTAAAAAAAAAATACTTTGTTTACTTTGAATTGAAGTAGTTCATATTGAACTTAGCTTTTCACTGAAAGTTGAGACTTGATAAAATTCTTAGGCATTTGTGTGTTTTCTAAGCTATTGCAGATCCCAACCCCCTGCTAGACTAATAAGTGGAGAGGAACATTTTTCAAGCAAGAAGTGCCTGGCTTGGTTTTATGAGTATGCAGGTAATGAAATTAATATAAGAAGATATCAGTCACATGCTTTAACATTTTTTTTGGTTCATTCATTTAACAAATCATTTATTGCAGGCCTGCTTTGTGTTAGTGCTGTGTCCTGGGATCAGGGTCAAGACTGAGGATTATAGGTAGACTAAGAATTTGGTGCCATGTCAGGATGATATTTCCTTAAATATGTAATTCAGTATATATTTAGTGGGAGGGGTGAAACTCATTTACTATTGATACAATTTGTAAACAGATACATTTATTGGTCTATGTCCATTAGCTAATGTAGACTTAATAGTCTGGAAAACACAAAGTATATAATAAAACATTTTATGCTTTATATAGTTTTTATTTTTCTTTTCCATATTCTATTAAAAATTTTCTGAACCTAAACTGACATTTTCTGAAACTTTGGGGGAGGCATAGTAAAAGATTTAAGATTCAGATCTGTCATTACACAACACATTTGCCCTTTAATCATTGCTGGTTAGCCCCCTTCAGCTCTACTAGAAATGCAGTGATGAATCAGAAAGTAAACCAACTATACCACTACAGTGTGATAAATGCTGTATTAGATGTCCTGTGATAGTTCAGAGGAGGAACATGTCACCCAGCCTTGGGAGTGTCAGGGAAGGGCTTCCAGAAGGAGCTAACTGAAGCTAAATCCTGTAAGCGCTGGAAGCTCTGGGTTGGGGTGGAGCTGTAGCCTGGGGGTGAAAGTCAGAGCCAGGGAGGAGACATCACCGTTAAACACACATATGAAATAGAATATTTGTTTCCCATTTATTACTTTCTCATAAGCATGTATGAAAACATTTTTTTTTTCCCTCAGAATAGTTTCGGTCTTATGGAATTAATGATTTTATAGCTTCTCCCTCCTCCTTTTATCACTATCATTCTCAGCATTTAAAATAAAACGGTTTGTATGCCATCACACTCATATTTAGTGCTGATCAGTTAAGGTCTAAAGTGTACTCTGAACTTGAGGTATAAGTTTAGGCTAACTATGGAAAGTAAGACTATTGATGGGGGACAGCAACTTCACTGTTGAACCAGCTGAGGGATCCCCAAAGTATAATTTAAAAATTGTTTAGTAACAGAACAGATTCTTTCTAGACCAAAAAAACTGCTATTACTGGCATCCCAAGACAGTGTCTAACCCAAATTAAATGAAGGGAATTCATTTCTTGCTGACCTCCATTTAAATGTTGACCCATTATTCAAAATGCTAGTTTTACTGGAATTCATGATATAGAATCAAAAGGTCACTCACCTTATTTCACTTATAAAGAGATACCATAATTTAGTCCATTTTTTTTCTTTCATGCTTCTTTGTATTTCCTCTCCTTGGGACTTTCGTGGGTTGTATAATCTAATTAGCTCAACATTTATTTCCTATACTAGCATTTTTGTAGTAGCCAGCATAATAATTGCTCTTTATTTCAAAAATCATACTTAATTATATAAGGTTTCCTAACAATCATTCTGTTAAGTAGGTGGTTATCCCTTTTTATAGGTGAGGAAACCGAGGTTTAGATTGAGTAATTTGCCCAAGGTCATACAGTGACAAGAGCCAGGATTCAAAGTTTGGTCATTCTGATTGCAGAGCCTATGCTTTTAATTACTACTATCTTATAATTTCTTTTTTTAAATATGTACACGGCAACTAATTTTCCTTATACAAAAAAAATTAGTAAATGCACTTGAGGGTAATTTATGTCATTTATTGAATGAGTCATTCAGTAAATATTTATTGAGCATTCGACGTGCGTCAGGCACTGATTAGTGCCAGGGATATCGTAGTGAACAAGTTAGACAAGATCCCTGCCTTCAAGGGACTTGCCTTCTGGTGGGGAAGACAGACAGTAAATAGATAAGTAGGCAAGACAATTCTAGTTTGTGGAGCATTGTAAAAGTAAAAATATGGTGAGGTGTAGGGATAGAAAGTAGAAAGTTTGGATGGACTTTCAAGTAGGGTGATTAGAGAAGGCCTCTCTAGACATTACTTTGGGCAGAGACCTAACTGACAAGGAAGAACCAGTCATTTAGCAAATAATCAGTCACTGTTCTGTCTAAAATGGGGATATCCCTTATTAAAATGGAGACAGTCTTTGGGCCTACTGAGAATAATACAGGTAAAGCACTTAGCTCAGTACCTGGAATGTAGTCAGAACTCAATAAATGTAAGTTCTTATTAACAGAGTAATAGCATTACAGCATTAGATTTCCTGGTTGTGGATTTTGACAGTTCGGTCTCACGATTAACAGGATAGCTCCTGTGTAGCTCATGTTGAAGGTGCTGTGTCATTCATTGAGCACAGTTTTTGTTTGCTGATCATCTGCTATGGCTGGCATGGTTTTAGACTCTGCAGACACCACTGGAAACATTCTATGGTTATAAAAAAAAGAAAATTGATTTTTTTTTTACTTTTAAAAATATTTTACCACTAATTTTGTTAATATATCATAGGTGATGTGTGTTAAGCCTGATGATTTTGCTGTTTCACAAGACCTCTCATCTTGAGTGATATTTACATTAGCAAGGACTCAGTAATACCGGGGTCATTACTGCACCAAAGCATGGAAAGTGAAAAGGCACTTTTAAAATCTTAGAAAGAACCCAAAAAACAGGATAGAATGGCTAACTTCTAATAAAGTTCTACCAGCTGGTAGAGTGAACTAAATCATTCCCATAGTTTCTTAAATTGAGTGGAAAGACTGAAGAGTAAAATTCAGCCGCAGAGTAGATTTATTGGAAGAGTGTATTTCAATAAGTAGAACTAACATTATGCAGTCCAGGAAAAGAACATTGGTATTGACCTTGTTTTAGAGTTAGATTTGTAATTATTTTCATTGCTTTGGGAAAGTTACTTAACATTTACAGAAAGGTCTTGTGTATGTCTTATATATACATATAACAAAATATAATTTGATTCTTATCAAATGTTAACCACTAACTAGTCCCGCAGTTTCTAGGAAGGCTGTATTTTATGATGGTAACTGCTACTTCTTGACATGACTCTTCAGCTCTCTCTTCTCATTACTAATGATGGCAGCTTTGAGGGCAAGTCAGTTTTCTTTTTCATAGGAAAAATTTATAATACATTTTTGTCATGGCTTAAAGAAAAACTGTGTCCTATTAAATTTTTTATCTAATTTTTACTTTCAATGAAACCGTATATAAGGATACATATTCAGTTATATTTTTAACAGCTTTATTGTATATGTATGCTTTTAAAATTACATAATTAACACATTCTCATAAAAAAATCCTCCAAATATATATTAGGAAGTGAAAGTGTCCTGTAATTACCACCCCTCTCACCTTTTAACACCTCACTGCATAAGTAACTGCAGTACTTATTTAAACCAGAAAATTAAATAAGGCTTTTGGTTTCGGACCATATTTTTACATCATCTTAGCAGCCTAGATCTCATCTGAAGCAGCAAGAATATATTGGCCCACATACTGGATGGCTCTACTCTTCTGTGAAGAAAAAACCGTTGGGCGTTAGCTTCGTGTTGTACTTGTGAACTAATGATGATGTACAATGCCATCACCAATGAGTAGCCATGGTCTAGTCTGTGATTAATAAAGCTGCAGGATTTTTATAAGTCCTTAAAAAAGAAAACAGGGTTTTTTTGGCTGCCTTAATATTTCAAGACTATGTTTTCAAAAATCAAATGTGATAACATATTTCTATCATGTTTTATAATTATTTTAACTAACTCAGTCTTTTTTAATTGAGATATGACATTAGTTTCAGATGTACAGCATCATAATTCAACATATGTATACATTGCAAAGTGATCACCATAAGTCTAGTTGACCTCTATCACCATACATAGTTGCAAATTTTTTTCTTGGTGATGAGAACTTTTAAGATCTACTCTCAGCAACTTGTAATATAGTATTATTAACTGTAGTCATCATTCTGTACATTACATCCCAGAATTTATTTGTTTTAGAACTAGAAGTTTGTACCTTTTGACCACCTTCACCCGTTTTTCCCACCCCCCATCCCTGCCTCTGGCAACCCCAACCTGTTCTCTGTATTTATGAGTCTGGGTTTTTTTGCTTGTTTGTTTGTAGTTTCCACATATAAGTTACATCATATGTTCTCTGTCCCTCTCCGACTTGTTTCACTTAGCATAATGCTCTCTGGGTCCATCCATGTTGTCACAGGTTTGTTGTAATCTTAGCGAGTTACAAAAGAGACCTAGCAATGATGTAATCACTATCTTTTCAGAAACTGATGAAATAAAGAAATAGAATTGGTGTATTGATTATTTAATGCTACTAAGGGAGAAAAATAAGAAACAAGCTAAGTGTCATTAATTTTTGGACAAATGATAAACGTAAGCTAATTGAGGGATTAAACTTTTGTTTTTATATTAAGGTGGCATAATTAATGCTTTGATGTCTATTTTAGATCCAAGATGATAAGGAAAGTAGTAATTTTCCTAAGTTACTATTTTCAAAAGAGTGTATATTTTTAAAGTATTAAATTTGATTTGCTTGTATTTCAAAAGGGTAATAAATGACCTTATGTTTTAGTAAGAAAGCAGCTATTCTCTGATTACTGTCTTGAGTTGTGGGCTGGTCCTACACATTCTAGTAAAATTTCTTATGGTTCTTTATATATATGCATTGTGAAAAATTTTCTTCAGGAAGGCTCTCGGTAAATTTTTTTTTAATGCATAGGTTCAAGTTACTGTACAAACAAATGACTGATATTAATGCTACTTCCCCACTTTTCCCCTTAATTTCATTTTGTAATGTGTTTAAAGAGTATTTCAAAAATTTTACATTTTAAATCGTATAGCAAATACTTATACTTTATCAAAGATCTGTCAAAATTCAAATTTTGTTATTTACAAAAAATGTTATGGTATATTCATGGATGCCTTTAGTACATTGACTTATGTTTTATGTTGATATTAAATTATAACAATAAAATATATAAATTATTTTTGTCTTTGAAGGTCCTGATGAAGTTGTAGGGCCAGAAGGAATGGAAAAATTTTGTGAAGACATTGGTGTTGAACCTGAAAATGTATGTTTTATTTCTAAGTAGAATGGAATACAAGTGGGGTATAGCATATTTATAAATTTCTAAAATTCGGGACACTTTAATCTTATATCAGGGTTTTGTTTCTTCATGTTTAATACTATAGATTGTCATTAGTATTTTTAATCAGTTTAAGTTGGGCACGTGTTCTCTTTCTTGATACAAATGTAATTTGTAATAGAGTGAGAGAGATTCTACCTTCAGAAACTGGTTAGAACTTTTACTTTTAAGAAATTGGCCCACCTAAATTTCTTTGAGTTAATACTTCCAGAGGTTATATGTACTCTTTAATAGTTGAGGGATGGAAATGGTTGTATAAGAATGCTCTCCGTGATAAATATGGACATGATTATCTCTGTGCTGACTTTTCCCCTATCCTTTATGTTCTGTTCTTTCCAGATTATTATGTTAGTTTTAGCGTGGAAATTGGAGGCTGAAAGCATGGGATTTTTTACCAAGGAAGAATGGTTAAAGGGGATGACTTCATTACAGTAAGATATTTTTTTAAAAAACAAATTTGATGGCCTATTTGAAGATCTTAATTGATATTTTGTGCTTCATAATTTTTAGGAGTAAGGTTTCACCTTAAAGTAATCAAATTGGTTTAATCTGTAACAATCAGTTAGGGATTGACAAAATTTATATTGTGGTCTTTGCAAAATGAACAGTTACCCCATTTTTCATATTCTCTGAGAACCTCATCACAGTTTTACTAAAATCATTGACTCTTAGTGGGTAAATTAGAGGTCTGTGATCAAAGTTATTTACCCACAGATAGATTGAGGAATAAGGGCTTTCCTCTCTGAATATAGAGTTTTGCTTGTAAGGAGTCTGTTCTCGGGGCAGTCCTAAGCTCTGGGGCCTCTTCTCCTCTGCAATTTTATGCTTGATTTTGAAAAAATATTTGAAGATAGAGTTACATGGCACTTTTATTACTTCTTTTCTGCCAAATTAATCTGACAAAGAAGAAAAGTAGAAAGGTTGTGAGGCTCCCGTGCAGCCCCTAGCGACGTTCCTGTTACACACTCTCTGATGCTGCCTTGGAACTCTTTCATGAGGTTTCAGAATTGCTTCTGTATAAAAATCATGTGATTTTGACCTTCCAGAGTAAAGTGTGCTTAGTTTCAGAATCAGTAATTATGTGTTATTTTTAAATTATGTCATGTTCCTAATGTTCATGCAGGATGTTACTAATTGCCAACATTCTAAAATAGAGGAAGCATTAATTTATAATACTTTTGAGCCAAAAACTGGGGATTAATTAGCCACGTGGTTTCCTGTTGTGGGTTATGCTTTTTTTTTTTTTTAACACATTTACTATTCTTTATTACTTGTTTGTGTGTCCTGAAATTTCAGAATACCGCAGTTATTTTTTTAAGTGTATCTGTTCAAACGGAACTTGAACTTTTGTATTTGAATTTTCAACATGCAGTGCTTTGTAATTCTCCTTTTTAACCAGTATTAACATGCAGATATTTCTTACATATTTAGGTATACACCTTTGCTTATATGAGCCAAATTACAACTTCTAGAATAGAACATAAAATCAACCCTGTAATTTCAATTATTTATAGGTAAGGTAAAGAGTCAGACTTGGAAAGGTGAACAAAACGTTTGCCAAGGTTTATGCACCTATTTAATGGCCCGGCTAGGACCTAGAATTTAAATTTCCAGATTACCAGTCTAGCATACTGTACTTCCTATTGCATTATCTTTCTGTATTTATGTTATCATTCTTTATAAAATAAAGGACTGTTATTAATGTTTGGAATCATAGTATTTACAACCAGGCTTGAATTATGTCATTCATCTAGGTGTCATAACATACCAAATTAAAATGATGTTGATTCTGAAATTCTTTGGAAACATCCAACCTTCAGTTAGCTTTTTAGAGAAAGATAAAATATACAGACAAGTATGCAAAGAATATAAACTAGTTTTCATAGTTTTTGTCTGTTTTATTGAAATTTATATCAGTTGTTACATGGCTTATTGATTGTAAGACATTTTATTTGGCACTTATAACTGCTTTTTGTACTGCTCCTGCTGAATTTTTTGTATATTGTTTTTTTTTTTAATATCCCAGCTAACAAATGTTCATGTATTTTTAAACCAAAAAGTTTCTCATTATTTGTTTTTGCATAATTTGACGTAATAGAAAGAGCCTTTGTATAACAGAAATGTGTAAACACAAAACATTTCTAATAATTAGAATAATTAGCATATGAATTTGGGTACAAGACTAGAAATTGACTTAACCCTTGAACCTATTTTTTTACTAGCACATCTTTCTATAGGAAGTTCACAAGCTACACAACATAAAAGCAGTACTTGAACACTTAAAATTGACCCCGAGGTATCTGTTTCCCTCATTTATTATCCCCTTCCCCTCTGCTTTACTCTGTGATGTAGAACTGTGTCCCTGCTCAAATTAGGCAAGTGCTCTTGACTGGGAAAATAGTTGTTTTTTTCCCCATGATATAAATTGCTATGTGAAGTACAGAGTATTTATCAGTTAGCTAAGTCTTATTACTCCCTGAATTTTCTTGTAAAAAACTTGCAAAGACTACAGTAGTTTAAAATTTAAAGCAGGAGAGACAAAAGAAGCTATAGAAGTCTTAATTTTTTATTTTATAGTTGCCTGGTATACTTGGTTTTATTTAATACATATAGTCATAAAATGTAAAACTTCACAGACTCGTTTCCATTCATAGATTTTTCATATTTTTAGGATTTGATTTAACCTGTGCACAGTTACTTGATGGTCCCTAAATTGTCTTAATGTAGTTATCAATTGTTTCAAATTAATTAATTTTAACCCTTAGAAAACTTTAGTAGGGCTCTGTTAAGGAATAGAAACAGCCTGGTAGTTAAAAACATAGACTTTGCTCAAGGGTAGTAGACTTTAACAACCATGACTAATTAAAATCTGTAATTGTATAGAATACTTCCTTTTTTTTTTTTTAAAGATTTTTATTTATTTAGTTGAGAGAGAGAGAAACAGCATGAGAGGGGAAAGGGTCAGAGGGAGAAGCAGGCTCCCCGCTGAGCCGGGAGCCCGATGTGGGACTCGATCCCAGGACTCCAGGATCATGACCTGAGCTGAAGGCAGTCGCCCAACAAACTGAGCCACCCAGGCGCCCTGTATAGAATACTTCTGTACGTTCATTTACTTTAAAGCTGTTTACTGATAAAGACTTTTTGTATCTGAATTGCTTTTCTGTTTTTTGTGGAAGAATTTGTGGTGTGAGTTTGTGTATAATTAGACTGGAATGGCCATTTTGTAGGTTTCAGAGGATGCAGTTGGCACATCCTTTCTAGGGATTTTACTCTCTAGTTTCCATCGTTGTTCAGTAACCGCCAGATTGCCCCTCGGATGGGATTTGATCTGTAGACACGTAGGTGAACACCTGTGCTCTGTCAGGTGCTGTGCCACTTACCTGTGACCACAATGAAGCAGAAGGCTGGCTCTGCCCTCTGCCGAACGTGCTGAGAGGGCAGGGAGGGCCCTGTGATGCTGTCACCAGACATCTAGGTGGAATGCGACAGGAAGCACAGCTGCTAATGAGATTAATTGAGGCTGAGTAGACAGGAAAGTCTGTAGACGTAGATCATTTGAACTGGGCCTTGAAGTATGATTAGGATTTTGATGGTTAAGGATATAGGAAATGTTATTTCTGAAGAGAAATCGTGAGCAGAGCCTTGGGAAAGGAAAATGTGTGTGTGAAGAAAGTAGTCTGGTTGGTTCTAATCCAAAGGTACATAAAAAAAAATTGACAGAATTCCAGGTAGTGGGGATAAGAGCTACGTTACAGAGGGCCGAGGCTAACGTGGAAACAGCTTAAACCCTGTTACAGGCAGCGGGAAACCATCCGGTAGCAGAAAGTTTGCAGTAGAGCAGTTGTTTTAACGCTGCTGGCCATAGACTCTTGTGAGAACCTTATGAAAACTGCGGACCTCATCCCCGTGACGACGCACCTGCGCCGCTGTGCACAGCACGTTCCATGTGGATCTTCCTCTTCCTTGCGTCCGTGGGTGCGGGACTCCAGGGTGCTTACTGGCCGGAGCGGAGAACTTTTCTCACGTGTGCCAGCTGATGGTGGGGTCGGGGCAAGGGTGAAATACCGTGTTGGTGGAGAAAAGCGTCAGCATAGAGCTCTGGAAAGCCTGTACTTGCTTATGATCAGGAGAAGACGAGGCAGGAGGGTAGCACGTGCCAGGGATGGCAGTGTCGCTCCACTACCAGTTGCACACCCTCTGGTCTCTGTCGTGAGCCCCGGCCCGTCAAGAGTCACGGCAGTGGTCTGGCCTGACTGGATTTAGGTGAGAGAGGAATGGGAGCGCTGACTTTTCGGTGAGGGTGGAAGAGTGAGGTGGACAGGGTGCTGTGATGTGAGTAGTGTGTGACTGTCATTCATTTAGCATTTGGGGCCCAACTACTAATTGCCATTAACATTCTTCCACTCTGCTCTCCGTGACAATTTCCAGTGCCTCTGTCCACATTTCCAAGTACCCCAGGGATGTGCTGTTTTGTTTTGGTCAGTAGACCTTACTCAAAGAAGTTTCTAGATACAGGACTTTGTGAGTAAAATTCCTCTGTTGTATATCAGCATATCACAGCATACATATCGGGACTTCTCTAATTAAGGAAGAAAATCTCATGTAGATCTAATACACAAATGGTAATTTCTTCTCATTTTAGACGTCTTTAAAGAAGCAGAACTTTAAAAGCCTCCCTTGCTAATCAGATATTTAGCAATACTCGGGAAATGAATGTCCAAGTCCTAATGTTGAAATTTAAACCCGTTTCTACTCATTCTAACCACAGTGGCCTTGGGGAATGGTATCCTATGGTGCCAGTGTCCCTAAAATCTGTGGGGTTTTATTTAGAAGCTCTCTCTAGCTTTCTATGATATACTAGTGAAGTAATGCATTTCTTTTTACTTCAAGGGAAAGGTTCTTTCTAAACTTCCCACGTTATGAGGTATGGATATTACCAACCTCTGAGTCTATTTTGGGCTAGGTTAGCTAAAAGAATTGTGAAGTGTTAGTGACTGCTTGGGTATGCTCATTGGGTTTGCTAGGTCCCTTCACGGTCTTTATGATATGGGTACTAAATGTGGAAGTTTGTTCTCTTGTTTCTTTCATTGATTGTTCGTTGTTCTGTTAGATTCTTTCTCTGCTTGAGATTGAGGTAGACCATTAGGAATGGTATGAAGTAGTTTGGACAGAGACAGCAGGGTGCGGGTGATTTTTAAGCCATTTGCCTCAGAAGGAGCATCCCAAGCTAAGAACTGTTGTAATCATGTAATTCGTGTATTCTCCTTTAGCTTCACGGTTGTCTGTTTCTGCTCCTGCATGTTAAAATGAGGAGAGAATCAGTGACGCGCCTGAAGCCACACAGCTGCAGATGGAGCAGTTGGAATTTCACCTGGTCTCTCTCTGTTTGGAAACTTGGTTTTTCACTTTCTGTCTTAAGCTTATTCAGACC